GGGGGTTTGTTATGGGTTGTAGGATATTTAGCTGCATTTGTTGGCCTCGTCTTCTAATCTGTCAGGGTCACCTTCCCCTACATCCCACTAGTTGTGACAACTAAGAATGTCTCCAGACATTGCCAAATGTCCGCTGGGAGAGGGGGGTACACTTAAGAACCACTATGTTAATAGAAAGAATCACTCACTCAAAATAGCTTTTCTAATACTAGATGATAAAGATGATAAAAATGTATAACATAGGATTACACGGCCATTATATCCAACTCAGTACTTGAAAACAGAATGTATCTTGTCATAGTCCCATGAAATATTCAAAACACGGATTGATAATATCTGAGCTCAGCATGATTAAAAGTATAAGATAAAAGCAAGGAAAAAAAGGTCTAATGGCAGAAAGATAGAAACTGTTGTAAACAGCTGTTAATTGAAGCAAAACCCAAGTTAAGAATATCTAGAAAATTAACAAAATTGATTTATGAAATCTGAACTAAAACAGTACTCAGAGAAAAATCAGTACATTTGGTGTTTATATTACCAAATAGAAAAAGAAAAACAAACAAAAATCAATGAATAGGCATCTGACTTAAGAACCAGAAGTCTATGGATAACCTAAGAAAAATGGACAGGAGATCACTAGAAGAAAATGAGATATGGATGAATTAGGAAACAAAAAAACAGCAAGAACAAATCAATGAATTTTCTTTTCCTTTGAGAAATTTTCTCTAAATCCAGAAAAAGTAAAAATAACTTGATAAACCACTAATTACTAATGGGAAAGAAACCAAAAATATAGACATGCAAAATAGGAATGAGTTGGGAGAAGTAGCCACAGGTTTAGGAAAATTAAAGAAATCAGAAAAGTATAAGCACAAAGGAGAACTCGGGGATTTTTGTTTTGTTTAGTGATATATCTCAGCTGCCTAGGAAAGAGCCTAGCAGAGTGGCGCACAAAAAATTTGTTGACTCAATGCACAAATACATTTAAATTTGCTATATGACATTGGTGAATTTTGAGAAGGTAAATTTGCAAACTTGATCCTAGATGAAATAGAAAGTGTACATGCTTGCTGTTGACAGAGATGAAATTCCTGGGTGAATTCCACCACCACTTTAAAGACCAAATAATTTAAGTTTAATTTGTTCTGAAGTAGAGTGTGAAAGAAAATCTCATCTCTTTTTTTTTTTTTTGAGAAGGCATCTCTCATATTTATTGATCAAATGGATGTTAACAACAATAAAATTCTGTATAGGGGACTCAATGCTCAATGTACAATCATTAATCCACCCCAAGCCTAATTCTTGTCAGTCTCCAATCTTCTGAAGCATAATGAACAAATTCTTACATGGCGAACAAGTTCTTACATAGTGAATAAGTTCTTACATGGTGAA